GAGCCAACGTGGTATACTTGTGAGTCTGACAAATCTAACAAGCAGCCACATACGCTTGTATACCCTTCCGCATCTGAGGCCAATAGAACATCGATTGCACTCGCTTCAAAGTCTTCAACACACCCGAGTGTCCTCCCAACAAACTGTCGTGACATTCACGCAAAATCAAAGGAATGTACTTGGAGTTGTTTGGTAACACCAACCTTCCGCGAAACCACAGTCTCCCTTGTTTCACCACATACCCTTCTTTCACTGCTTCTTTCCTTGTAACCTTCCCAATAATCTCTTGAATCTGCAGACTCTCATCAACCTCTTTATAGATATCCTGAGCTTGCAACGATGATGGTAAGGTCAAAGAAAACAACTCTGCAGCAGCATACTGAACAATTCTAGACAATCCATCAGCAACCTAATTCTCAGCCCCCACCTTGTATTCGATATCGAAATCATACCCCAAGATTCTGGTCAGCCACCGTTGATAATCCAATGTCACTTCTCTCTGCTCAAGTAAATACTTTAAGCTCTGTTGATCAGTGCGCACAATGAACCTTCTCCCAAGCAAATAGTGTCTCCACTTCTGAATAGACAACACTATTGCCATCAGCTCCCTTTCATATATCGGTTTCAACTGCTCCTTATTTGTCAAGGCATGACTGAAGAAAGCAATCGGATGTTTCCCTTGCATCAAAACAGCTCCAAGACCATAACCAGAGGCATCTGATTCGATGATAAACACCTGAGTAAAATCTGGCAGAATTAGCACTGGAGTTGTTGTCATCGCCTGTTTAAGTGTCTCAAACGCGTTCTGAGCTCCCTGAGTCCACACAAACTGTTCTTGTTTAAGTAACTCCGTTAGAGGTTTGGCTAACATCCCATAGCCCTGCACAAACCTTCTGTAATAGCCCGTTAACCCTAAGAACCCTCTCACATCTTTAACAGTTCTTGGTGTTGGCCATTTAACCACTGACTCAATCTTCTGCGGATCAGTTGACACTCCTCTTGCTGAAATGACATGGCCCAAGTACTCAACTTGTGTCTGAACAAACGTACACTTCTTTCGATTAGCAAACAGCTTCTGCGTCACAAAGACTTTCAACACTTCCTCGACATGCCTTTTATGTTCGTCTAATGATGAACTGAAAATCAGTATATCATCAAAAAAGACTAAGACAAACTTGCGCAGAAACGGCTGAAACACCTCATTCATTAATGCTTGAAACGTCACTGGAGCATTTGTCAAACCGAAAGGCATTACCAAAAACTCATAATGCCCTTCATGAGTTCGGAATGCTGTCTTCTCCACATCCTCCTCCTTCATGCGTATTTGATGGTAACCAGACCTTAAGTCCAGCTTTGAGAACCACTTTGCCCCATTCAACTCGTCAAGTAACTGGTCTATCATAGGAATGGGGTACTTGTCAGGGATTGTCGCTCTGTTTAACATCCGATAATCAATACAAAACCTCCACGAATTATCTTTCTTCTTCACCAAAAGCACGGAACTGGAGTAAGGACTGTGACTCGGTCTGATAGCCCCCGTACTTAACATCTCCTGCACACTTTTTTCCATCACTTCCTTATGTATCTGTGGATACCTATACGGTCTAACACTGATAGGACCCATCCCAGGTTGTAAAGTAATCCCATGCTCACGACCTCGAATCGGAGGTAACTCCTTAGGCTCGTGGAAGACATGTCACTCAGTGTCTCCAGAAGTAAATCAGGAATCTCAGACACCTTCTGCAACGATTTAACTCCTTTAGCTTGAGTGTGGAAAGCTGGATCACCAACCAAAGACACCAGCTTGCCTTGATAATGAAAGACGTATAAATGCTTCTCCCAATCAATGAGACACTTCCCTAGCTTCCTCAAAAACTGCATCCCCAAAATCACATCAATGTTACCCAATTCTAGCATGATAAAATCTGCCACAAACGTGAGACCTTGTAATGTGATCTGCACATCTTTACAGAACCCTGCTCCTTGTACTGAAACTCCTGTGCCCAAGAGAATTTCCACTCCTCTACCCGTCTCCGCGTTCAACTTCAACTGTCGTGCTACCGTCGGCGAGATGAAATTGTGAGTAGCACCACTGTCCAACATAACGCGCAAAATCTGTTTCTTTATAAAGCCCTTAAGCTTCGTTGTAGATGGTGTTGATTCCCCTAATAAGGACTTCACCGAAATCGTCTTCAACTGTGGTTCCCAAACAATATCATCATCCTCCACCTCAGAATACTCTTGCTCTATTATCTCCAATTCCATTCCATTCAACACCGTCAACACCTTTAACGTAGCATTAGGACAAATGTGTTGTCTACTCCATTTAGCATCACACTTATAACAAAGGCCTAATCTTCGCTTTTCAGCTATCTGTACTCCTGTAAGTCTCAATGGTGGTTTGGTGTTCCCACTCTGCTTCACTTGTTGAGAATCATTTGGTTGAGTTGCCGTTTTCTGTTTCCACGTTGAACTCGTGTTAAAACTAGAATACGACTTGGACTGGTTATGAGTCCCTGCAGTGACATTGTTCTTCAGTCTCAGCTCTTTCTGAACCACACCGTGTAAAGAACTTGATTCCATCTGATAAGCTGTGGAAATCATATCAGGAAGGTCAACCGGTCTGCACATAGTCACCACCTCCCTCATGCCTGGAGACAAGCCATTCATGAAAATTCCCTCCTTCTGCTTATCCGTAACTCCAATGACTTGCGTCGAGAGATCCTCAAATTGATGTATGTACTCTGCTACTGTACCAGTTTGCTGAATAGCAAAGAAGGGTTGACTCGGATCACGTAACTTCACCCTACTGAATCTGGCTACTAGCCTCTCCTTGAAGTCTATCCAAGTCTCAAAGGGAAGACGTAGTGTCTCACTGTTAAACCAACTCAACACATCCCCACTCAAACTGACAGAAACCAGCTCAATCTTTGTAGATTCGTCATAACCTCCGATGCGGAAGAATCGTTCAGCTAAAGCAATCCAACCATACGCATCATCACCACTGAAAACTGGAAGTTCAACTTTACGAATCCATTTATCCCTGTTTTCAATCACCAAGGGCCTAGTCCGATCTAACATATCCCTAACACTACGGCCAGGTTCCGAGATGTGAGAATGTACCTGATGTTCGTTCCTCTGCCTCATCGGAAACGTCTCCGCTTGATTATCGACTTCGATTATCCCCTCCGGACGCTTCGATTCCCGTTTCAAAAGTCTGACGATCTCCGCGAACTTTTCATCCAACTTTGCCGTGAACTTCTCCTCCAATTGAGTGATCGATGAACGGATCTGTGTATTCGTCTCCCGTTGCTCCGCGAACTGCGCCGTCACCGCCGCCGCGAACGTTTCTTGATTTCCCGATGCTTGCGTCGGTCTCGTCATCTCCGATAGTTGCGATTGTTCGATCCAGAACGCTCTCACGCACCAATTTGTTAAGAACAAAAGAGTTTATTGAACAATAACCTCCCAACCGCCCTCTCTTAATCTCCACAATACAGAGACTAAGCCTTTTACAATCTTGAATCTCTTTGAGATCAAGCCTTTGATTCCAACTGAATGACTCTAACTGACTCTCTACACATCCTTATATATTCGGATGTTTACAACGGACTCTTTTAACAACCGTAACAAACTAATTGCCAGCTCAGCCTAGCTCCTCAACTCCTCTTCTCCACTTGCGTTCCTCTTCCTTCTTGACACATATACCCTTGCCGGCATATCATTTAGATTCCAGCTCCTTCTTGCTGAAGATTTATGTTCTTCTGCCTCTAACTTCATTCCCCTCTAATTTATCTTCCAGTCCTTGCGTTACATCGTCCTCTAACAGAAGCTTGTATGTATCATCAGGCACTAATGGTGGTGATGGGGGTAAAGATGGCAAACTAGACCGTGATGAACCCTCAAGAATCTTCTTCTTAACCGGTTCATCCACATTCGAGTTTAATGATTCTTGAGAAGGCGAAAATATGTTTTGAGTATGTGACTCAAAGCTAGTCCACGATGAAGAAACAGTAGACCGAGAAGAATGCCATGGAATAACAGGTGAAGACAGAGCCACCATAACCACATTAAAATCCTTATCAACCAATGACTCCTCAGCTTTCATGTTTACAGCTTCACCACAAGAGTTGTCTGGCCTCAAGAACTGCGTGCACAACATGGCCATCACGACCGCAACGTTAGATCTCCCTTGGAAGTACTGCGAGTTCCAAGCTTGGATTTGATTGACTTTACCATATTAAGACAAAGATTCTTGCAACTCATTCACTGCAACTAGAGCCTCGAGCACTCACATGAATCAAACGACTCTCATCACTCCTAAATCACAAGAAATAAATCTCTTTAATCAGGAAATCATCTAGCAAAAGCAAAAACGACATAGGCAGGGGACGCTTAGCCGGAGGAAATAGACTCGGCTTGATTCAAAGCAGCATTCAAAATTCTCGATGGACGTGCCTCACGTGCGTACGATGCCCATCTGCTATGGCCTTTTTTTTAATCATCTGTTTGGCCTATCAAATGGTCCTCTTTTTTTGCTAATACTGTTAATTTCATTAAAAATAAGAGGTTGTTCTACAAAATGCAGTAAACCTTTACAAGAGATACCCTGGCACAAAAAAAGAATGTAAAAAACAGGGCATCAATCAACAACTCAAAACCTGACTCCAAGAGCAAGCCTCATGGAGAAAGACCAGAAAGTAAAGGAAACTAAAGATGGGTCATAACATTATATGAACCAGAAATAGAATCAGAAATATACATCCAGTAACATTATATTTTTATGAAAAATTGAAACATACAAAAACATCAAGAAGACAAAAAAAACTCAACCACTAAAGGCTAAAGCCATGCCTCTCCATGATACCATATAAACCAAACCAAAACCACAAACCAACCAAACCGGAAATCAAAGATCAGCAAACCAAACACTTTCCAGTTTCCACAGCTAAAGTTATTCACTGTACAATCTAAACAAAGCTTACTCATGTCTTATAAGATCACTCTTTTGAGGAAGTCGACTCTGTCTGAGACACCCCACCACTATTACCCTGACGATCTGAGTAAGGTCTAACAAAAGATCTTCTCCACCAAACCTCAAAAGCTCTCTGAAGATTCGGACAACCATCTCCACCATTCAAGAAACTCCCAAGCCAAGACATCAAAATCCTCTGCTGATCTTCCAATGGCAACGTCAATATCGTCCTCCCTATTCCTTCCTCCACAAGCTTCCCATCAAACGATCTGCAACCATGTTGCAGCCAGTTATAGTCCTTGAACAAAGGCTGCAACCACGTGGTCAACAGCAGAAGCCTAGTGTCTTTCGAAGGCAACATCTCTCCTCTCCCTATCCCTACAAAGAGCCTAGATGTTACGCGGCTTATATGGTAACGAGACACTAAAGGAAGCTTCTCGTGTAACGAAGCTAGCTCCTTTTGGTTTGCCCACGTGACTGAAAACTCCTCTGCTGCTTGTCTTTCAACCAAAACATCAAGCAGCCACGTGAGGTTATCAGCTTCTAAACCTATCTGTTTAGTATCAGTCTCACCTTGTCTGAACAGAGACAAGACCGAGTCTAAACAGTTCTGGCAAGAGGAATAGATTGTCTCGTTGAAGTTATCAGCTACATTGTTCCCATTCTGTTCCCTGAGAAGCTTCAGGACGATAGATTTCATCTCACGACGGCTCTTCTCCTCTTTGCTTCTCAACACAAGGTCGATGATGCGTGAGAGAGTCTCTTTAGGTGGATCCACAGAAGTGGAAGCAGCAACTCTTTTGAGTACAGGACTAACACCAACACCTTCTGTCTTTAACCTAAGAATGGCCGAGATCACTTTCTCCTCTTCTTCTTCACCAACCCAAGGCACAGCTTCTAAATAATCCAAACAAGATTGAATACAAGAACTGAAACCAAGAAGCTCTGCAACCTGTAATAACATACCAAACCAAAGTCCTTAAAACACTTTCCCTAAAGCTAACAAAGTTACCATACTGAAACACTAGATTACCTTGAGGACACGAAGGACTCTGCTAACGTTCTGTTTCATAAGCCTTTGCTTCATGTCTTTACAATACATAAGCCCAACGGTCTCAACGTAAATCTCAGCATCTTCACAGCTCTCAATCTCAAGACAAGCGAAAACAGAGTCTTTCTCAGAGAGTTTCTTAGCAAAGAAACTACTATGATCAACCAAGACTCTCTTATGAACACTCAGCTTCACGCAGAAGCCTTGCTTCCCTACAAGAATCACTTTAGCGTCACTAGTTCCAGGTTCACCGAACTCGATGGCTACTTTCCTCGGTAAAGTCTCAACCTTAGGCCTCTGTGGATGTCTCTCTTGAACCGTCACAGGAACAGCGATACTGTGATGATGGGTCTCTGGTGGGTTACTACTCTGTTGTTGTTGTTGTTGTTGCTCGTCTGAAGCTATGACGGATCTAATAGTGGTCGAGGAGGGTTTCTTCTCCTTCTCCTTCTCCTTCTCCGGGGGCTTCTGAGGAGGAGAGTGTTTGGGTTTGTGGAGGGAGTTGTGAGATTTGAGAGTCTTTTGGAAAGCTACAGGAGAAGGGCAACACCAGAAGCCTTCAGGAGTCACAGCTACTGGAACAGTTCTGATCTTGGTTTGCACTTGCTCTGTTTTTGTGATCTTGATCTCAGCCATTGTAGATACAGAGAGAGGGAAAGGTTTAAACTTTCACACCATTAACGTAAAGAAACAGAACAAGAAAGAGACCCACAAGGCTAAAATCTAAGATAAAGACACAAACAGAGTCAATTGTAGAACCCTAGAAATGATAAATCTGTGAAATTTCTCAAAAAATATCTAAAAAGAAGGAAGAAGCTGTGTGGAGATGAATGATTTGTAAGGTAATAATAGTGTTTGGAGATGAAAAGAAGGAAGCTTTAACCCTAAAAGAAAAATGGAATTTGAAAAAAGGAAGAGTAAAGCCAAGAAAGGACGAGAAAGAGATGCATCAAATGGGTTGTCTCTCCAACTCGATTCCTTTATCTTCACTTTACTTTTGTCTCCTCACTCTTCTCTCTCTCTCTCTTATCGCATGATTTTGTTGATTACATGTGTGTTTGTGGGGGCCTACCTCGAACCAAAAATATTCTCACTCTAAAAATAATTCTTTATCAGTGACCACACAGCCACGCCATCTTCTCTTTCACTCTTCTCTCTACATCGTTATTGCTGTTTAAATTAAAATGATTAAAAGAGAGGATAATAATCAAAATTTTAAAAGTTAAAGTGGTTGTGTGTTTTGTTCATGTTCATGTGGGACAGATACAGTTTCTTTATTTTTAAAATCTTGATTCTTGATGATGCTTACAAAACAAACCATCACTTTCTTGAAGATTATGCATTGCACATGCTATCATGTATTAAATTGGTTTATAATTGGTGAACAAGGTTCATTAATTACTGGAACCTTATAGGTTATAGCTGTTTCTCATGTCAAAGGCTATAGCTTCAAAGAAGAACATAAATTATTTTCCATATTTAGATTGTGAGTTTCCATAAATTTAGGGAGTTAGTTGAGTAGTTAGTATATTTTTGCATAATCTATTTGCATAGTATGTGTGCTATAGAGTATAGTAGACTTGCCTTTATAGTTGAACAAGAACTACTGGGAGTTCGCTATAATTTAATTTTTAGAATTAAATTTCATTATTTTACTGTGTGGCAAGTGCGATGTATAATGTCCACCAACCAATATTATTATTAGACCGCAGAATTTACCTTTTTTTTATTTTACATACGTACATCACATGTATTGCTGAAGTTGTATATCCGATAAGATTAGCAATTACTATATGTCAAAATACCACTTACACATAAGACGTTTTCATAGTATTCAATACAATGCTTAAAGCTAACTTAATAAATCACGCAAAAATAATATTATTCTTATATTCTGTATACATTTTATCATTGACAAAAGAAGATTTGATGGCATTTGCTGGAAGCTAGACCCACGAATAAAGAAGCACAAGGACTCTTGATGTAATGTGTTCCCCCACTTCATTCCAATATGCCGATTAAAATGAATAAATCTTCTTTTTTATCGCGACTAAATTAATAAATTCCCACATAAGCATAATAATAATAAATCAAGCTACTCAAAGCTAAGTTAAATAAACCACTATTTTAAATAACCAAATATTCAAACTCAAATATATTCACTCTGTAGTTTACCAAACATACTATCCTTCTTTCATTTAATGTCCAGTTTCCGGGAACAACAAAGTGACCAGAACCAATTCCATGCCCATGCTTGAAAGCGAAACACTCTTTGGGTTTTCTTTTTCTTTTGCTTCATCGTATTGCCTTACATATAGTGTTATTTTGATATACAAAACAAATTACAAGCATTAAATACACTCAATATAAATAAATAATAAGAAAATGTTAAGGAATCACAAAAACGAAAAGGAATTATAAGAAACTAGAGCTTTTAATATATTATGAATTGTTAAACCTATCTTTTTAGTAATTTGTGTACTATATCTTTCTGCCGTAATAAAAATATGCATACCGTAAAAAGGATAATGCAACTTTTATTTAGAAAAAAAAAAGAAATAGGCAAATGTGTATAGTGGTTTTATTTAGGCATGTTTAGTCCAGAGTTCGGTCTAGTTTCGATTTGGCTTTTCGGTATTTCAGTTTATAAAAATCAGTAAACATATTTAAACCATATCTAGTGTGGTTTGGTTGGTAATATAGTAGCGGTTTTCGTTTTAATCGGTTTTATGCCAAAAAACCAAAATTAGATTTATATTTTAATAACAAAATTAGTTTATATAATTAGAAGTAAGATTTATCAAAACATACATACATATTCTTTACTCTAACTTTTAAATATAATATTTTCTGTTTTATTTAAATATTAAAATTAATAAAATAATAATATCAATATATATTATATAATATATTATAGCTCAAATATTTACCAAATAAAAGTTATGTTTTATCTAGTTTGATGAAAATGAGAAAATAACCTTTTTAACTTAAAAAAATAACAAAATATTATAATCAATGTATTGGTTATGAATATTTTTTAATAAAAACAATTATGTATATATTATTAATTTTATTATTAAGTTTATAAATAAAAATATTATATATTTTAATTTATCGGTTCTTTGGTTTATTCAGTTAGATCGGTTTATATATCAAACCATATCCATATACTGCGGTTTCTTAAAAATATCATCCATTTTGTTTATTCGGTACTACCAAATCTAAACCATATTCTCAATTTCAGTTCAGTTTTGTTTTAATTGGTTCGGTTTTGCCATATTGAACACCCCTAGTTTTATTTATACCAACTACTAATCTTGAACTCAATCCTAAGAACATTATCAATGCACTTATTCATATAAATGGAGAGTTCTGATTTTCTCTTAAAAAATCTCTTATAGATTGGAATTTTGGGTACTATAAAACTTAAATAAGGCTCTTTCTCTAAAAAAACATAAATATAATTAAACAAAAAAGTAACATGATTAACACACTAAAACTATATACGTAGTTAGAGGTTCTTTTTCCTGCTTATTTATCCTTCAAGTCCATTTATTTCTAATTGCACACTTTCTTAGGGTAAAAGACCTAAACGGTTTGTATAAATATCATTGGTTTTAGTTGCCATATATATAATAGGTACATAGTCTTTAGACAGCTTTCAGATTTGTTTTGGCAATACACTTAAAATATTTCTCGTTTGTAGATTCTGGTAAGAAAAAAGCGTAGACTATTTTATTAGCTTCTTTAGTTCTCAAACACTTACTACAAATAAAAAGGGTTTTGACTTATTTTCTGATGAAGTAGATGTTCGTATCTTTGTGTTGAATGGATTATTTTCTCTATTTAAGACTAAAACAAAATGTTTGTGAGATCAAAGAGGTGGGTTTGTACATAAGAGGTGCCACCTATATACATTAGCTCAATTTCTATGCCTTAGTGACCTTTGGCTGCTTCATTTGATATCTTCAAGGCCAAGTCCGTCCTCAATTTGGTCGCCACCTTTGAACAGCTTGAGTAATCAGGCCTGCTCTAGTTGCCTCTTCTTCTATCGCTAATACTTATAACCGGCAATCAGTCCTACGCTTCTATGATCCATTGCCGCGTACTACTTCTTTGTCAGTTGTTAAATATTTATTTGAATGTGCAAAAAAAAAAACGTGCAGACTTGAACATGGGTAGTTTTGTGTTTATATTATTGGGTATTCATAAATGGGGAGGATAGAAGTTCATACCAAGTTAGACATTCTTTGGTGAGGGAGACTTCCACATCAGAAGAACACTCGAGAGAGAGTTGGTATGTCGCATGCTGGCTGTTCTTGTTTGCCTTGTACTTATGTGAGAGAGAGGTATTAAAGACCATAAATTTAAGAACATTTGCAATGGAACAGTAAATTAAAAAAAAAATTCCGAATCATATCCCAGAAATAGATCCATATGTAAAAATCATACAATTATTTTTCAACTAATGAGTAAAAACATAATCTGCACATCAAACCCAATGATTTTTGAAATTATTATCCACTCTATATCTGCAACACAAAGCTTTACTTAATAGTGTGTGATTGAATGTGCAATTGTGCATCAGTTCATACTTTTGAGAACTTTGATATCTGGTAAAAGGACGATGTTCTCATCTATGCTACGGTAGAGGTAACAAATCACTTACGGATACATACACATCCAAACTGTTGTTCTTATACACCGTTACAAAGAAGGACAACATACCGATAGTAGCTGGTCTGATGAGACTATATAAGAAACCCTGCGAGAAAGTTGTAGAAAGAAAAGAAATCACGTCCGATGAAATGAAATTTTGTCACACATCTAATATATCAAAAGGCAAAGCACACATCTTTTTCTCAAGCAAAATAAGTTACCGAAGGCAAAAAAAGAGAACAAAATGTTTTGTAGAAGATAAAATTAAAGGGACAGAATCAAGAAGACACAATACAATACATAGCATAGAAAATAAAACAAAAAAGGGCCAATGCAGCTGCATCTGACAGGCTTCTAAACATATTAGTACGTAGGTCTTCAAATCTTACACTGACCAAGAAAGACAACATCATTTTCTGAAGAAACTGAAACAAAGCTTGGATGGACAGTGCACTTAGATCCGAAAAACCTTCCTCAAAGGAGAATAAATGGGTATAAAGAAAACTAACAAATAAGAATAGATGAAGATCTTACAGATGCCATAAGTATAGAGCCACTCAAACCCCCAAAAGGAGAACCCTTACTTCCACATCTGCTATCTTCAATATTGAGCGTGAGAAAAAAAAAAATCTTTAGTAAAATAGAAAGAGATAAGTCAAATAGAAACTTCTGAGAGCAGTAAGTTTAACTTACAGGCAAAGACACCACCTCCTAGAAGAAGAACGACTGTTGGGACTGTGACAGTTGATTTCAAAATTTAAGCCATTGGTTCTTTGGGATTTGTTTTGTGTTATGTAGAATGGGGAAGATCTTATATAGTGAGACATGAGAAAACGAAACGTTTGATATGCTTTGTTTTGTGTAAGCAGATCTTATATAGTGAGACATGAGAAAACGAAACGTTTGATATGATTTGATGGTGGATAAACAGTCACTACCGGAGTTTTCAACGGTTGACGTTTCGTTATTTCGGTATACTCCACATCCTCGCTTCTTTGTGGAGTTTGAGGCCCCAAGGCGTGAAGGCGGTGGAGGGGTTTGTGATCTTCCTCTGCAGCGGCGCTTGCGGATGGAGGCGGAGGAAGAGTAGGTGTTAGGGATGGGTGACTGACTTCTCATCATCGGCTTTTTAGATTTATATAAGTGAAACAACAATCAACATATATGTACTGAGTGAAATTATGAATGGAGGCTTGATTGCTCAGAGATGGAATCATGTCCATTGAGTGACGATCGGTTAGAGAAGAGGTAAGATGAAAGAGAACAGGAGAGGCTATACGATTCATCGTTCATCGATTAGTGTTTTAAGGTTTGGGTTTAATGGGCCAACAGAACTAAATTTGAGAAGCCCAAATGTACCACCAGTTCTTTGTGACGTGGCAAAATAAAATATTTTGATTGTTCAAATATGTTTTCTTAAGTGGCGTAGCTTAGAAAGCTTTATTTAGAGCTTTTAATAGTGTGTGATATTAACAAACTTATTTAGGTAATCTCTCTATTTTTCTTTAAAAAAGCTGACTCTCAATTTGTACATTAACTAATGGTACCTCTAAACAAGTCGGCTATCCCGTGGTAACAATAAAGAATAGGAAACTATCAGTCAAAAATATAAGGTTTATTTATCCAAATTTCCTATTTATTTGTGTTTCCAATTTCTTTTATTTTTATCTCTGTTGACACAATCAGGTTACACGGCGATGTTGGTAAAGCTACCATATGAGTTAGAAGAGGATATTCTCTCAAGACTTCCATGGAAATCTCTTGCAAAGTTGAGATGTGTATGCAAGCTTTAGAATAGTCTTATTTTGGAAGAGAGACTCAACAAGAAGAACTTGTCGTTTCACATGCACACTATAGCGGTGAACATCAGTTTGTATTCACAGACAGTGGTCCTAAGATTTCTTCTTTGGGCATTGAGGAGCAGAAAACCGTGGTCGATCCTCTGTCTTTGATCGTCCAAGACTTTACCCTTATAAAAGTACGACCATATGATCCAATTAATGTGTACAAGACTGTTCACTGTGACGGTTTGTTGTTGTATGTCATGGACAACCAGCTTCTAGTTTGGAACCCGTTACTGAAAGAAACAAGTTGGATCAAATGCGGCAGCGACTTTCACCATCGTGATGATACCTACAGCCTTGGATACCTCAGCTATTGTGATTACCGGATCTTAAGGTTTCGGCGTGCTAGTAATTCCAGAAATAGGCCTTCAAGAGTTGAGGTATGTGAAGCTGCATCCAAGACACGGAAAGTATAGATAACATTAGTTTTGATTGGTTCCTTAGTATGCCATTGTCGATCCTCTCTCTTAGAGGAATTCCTTATTGTATAGGTCTTCGAGAAGATCATACAGCTTTCGTGCAAAGCTATGATTTTTCCAAAGAAAGGTTTCAGCCAATAGATGACCTGCCATTCAGCTATAATGAGTTGAATCCTATGGCAATAGAGGTTTATAAAGGAGATAGGCTTTCAGTGTTGGAGAAATGTCACAAAACAAGGAAGATATGCATATGGGTGAAGCATTGGCTTATGCTTACTTCTTGGAGCAAATTGTTGGTCGTGGACATACCAGAGTTTCCGTTGTTATATCCACGTCCCAGTCTCCTTTCGACGAATTATTATTTCGACAAAAACGATAGACTCGTCATAACTCGTAAGCACATTGGCATGAAGGGAGTATCTATTATCAGAGTTATTAACGACAAGGAGTTCCAACTAATTGAAGCTAATGCATCGGGAACTCGTTTCCCTTTTTTATATAGCTACGTTCCTAGCTTTGTTAGGCTTCCAGGGTTTTCGAAGCAAGACACAAGTCAGATTCGCTGGAGAAAACGTAGATTCAACTAGTTTGTGGTATACCGTATACATATATTTGTTCTTTCGTGCGACTCTTGTTTCTTTCTCTTTGATTTGGACTATTAAACCATGCATACATCCTATGCTATTTGGAAAGTGTCAAAAAAAAAAAGTGTTAAATTTATTTTACCTGCTCTATTTTTCCTAGAAACACACCATGGGCTTAAAAATTAAAGAGAACCTTGATGCTTACACAATTCATTTAGTTGAATTACACAATATCGTTTTCCTTCTTTTTTTCAAGTGCGCTAATTTAGATGCTTAGCATGTTTTAAAAGTAACAAATAGTGAATGCTCGCTTGCTGGTTTAGGAGTTCAAGTTAAAGCACCGAAGTCTTAAATAAGCATCCTTGATGATGATGACAACAAAGATGCCTAGATGAACCTCCATATGTATCTACTCCCTATGTTTGAGAATACTTATCATTCTAGACTTAATTTTTTGTCATAAATTAAGTGTCGTTTTAGAGTTTCAAGGTAAAATTTATTAATTGTATGTAATATCTATTATTCTATTCGTTGAAAAGTGGTTAAGTGTATAGTTAATTGTGATTTCATATTGAAAATATGTAAAATTAAATGTTTTTTTAATCTGTGTGAAAAAACTTAGAATGACAACTAAAGTGAAACAAAGGGAGTATATAACATTTTGTTGTAACAAAAGTTACCATTTTCTCGCTGGAAGGATATATTTTTCAAAGTCTGGATTTCACTTATAAAAATGTACTAGCTTTTGACATGTGCGTCCGCGCGAATGTATGTTATGGATAATTATATGTTTGTGTTAGTAGCAAAACAACATTCATATTTATGTTTCATAGATTATTGAGTTATAGATTATTGAGTTCTGATGTTGATATTTATTGTTATGATGATTGGTTAAATACACATAAAGCTTTAGGAAAATCCTTTATTTGGGAAAATATTCAATTCTTTAATTTGATGTCAAATTATTAAAATATTTATAGTGATAATAACATTTGATTTAGTTTGCATTGATTTTGAATTAAATCATTTCTAATCATAATGATATATATTATGATTTAAATATTGATATTTTGTATCTTAATAATATATTGGTTTATAATGACTATTTTGATGCATTAAAAACTGAATATACTCTTCGATATTATTCCTAAATTGATTTATTGAGTTTGAATAAGACATAAATTTTAACTAATTAATTATATATATTCTGTGATTTGCAAGATTATAAGAAAATAAGAATCTTTTGGTGTTTGCTTGAATATAGGTTTGTTATGATGATTGGTTAAATACAGATAAAGCTTTAGGAAAATCATTTATTTAAGAAAATATTCAATTATTTAATTTGTTGTCGAATAATTAAAATATTTATAGTGAGAATAACATTTGACTTAATTTGTGTTGATTTTTAATTAAATAATTTCTAATAATAATGATATATTTTGATTTAAATATTGATATTTTGTATCTTATTAATATATTGGTTTAGGTTATGTAAACCAAGATTACTGAGGAACAACTACAATGAAATTGTTGTATCTATTGACTATTTTGATGTTGTAAAGCAACAGAAACAATGAGTCACAGCCGATTTCACTTGATTTATTATCAGTGGAAACTACTGTGTTTGTGAAAGATGATGTTGTTTTAAAAAAAAAAAAGCACACAACATATGATGATGTTTTTAAAACAACGCATGCTCTATTATCTTAAAAAGAACAAAACTACTGTGTTTTATTAAACGTATAATCTTTTCTTTTTAAAAATTAACAAAAAAATGAATCTGTTTTATTAAATGTAGAATTTGTTTTATTAAATGTAGAATCTGTTTTTTTTTTTAAAGAGCAAAACTAAATTGATTTAATACCAGGGGCATTCTAATGTAGTTTCTTGAAAAACTAAGGGATATTTCCTATTGTACTCTACTTTTAATAGTTTAGATGGCCTTTCATAACTTCACAGTTATTTAAAAAAATTACCATCTCTTTTTTTTACAAAATATTATTTAATATAAATAATAATTGCAACTATTATTGATGTATTTTAAGTTTTATATAGTGTTATTTAAAAATGTGTATATTATTGATTTTAATTGTTTTTAAAAATTCAAGTTTTTAAAGTATAAGAAAATTAGAATAAAATAATTTAGGAGAAAATAATTTTAGTTTTATTATAAGTGTATAAGTTAATTTCATTTTTAAATTTTTGAAATAAAAATGAAAGCATCAATTTTGGTATACTAATATATTCCTATTTTAGATTTGTCTAGATTATTTTTTTAATCCAAATTTCCAAATTATATATATATATATATATAATTAATCTATTTACTAACCCATCCTATAACACAATATCATAATTAAAGAATTTTTTTTTAATAAAGTAAACCTTTTAAATGTATTGCTCTGATTTATAATATTTTGTTTTACGGCATACAATATGTTTATATAATTTTTTGTGTTTTATCACTCAATTTCCAAATGAAAATTTTATATAAATAAAAATTTCTAATAAAAAGAATATTTTTTTATAAAAATACGTTTTTATTTGGTGTATCTCACATTTGTTTTACCTTATTTTTAAAAAATTAAAACTGAAACGGGGAAACACATGTTTTCACATGTCTCACATTGGTAAGATTTTGTTTTATAATTGTTAATATAAATAAATCAATGTATTTGTTTAAACGTCTTGTATTTGATTAATTTGCATGATTATCAAATAACCCAAAATATAAAATCGTAAAAAGAACAATTATAATTTATAATTTTTTCCACTATATTATAAAAAAAAAATTAGGTGTAAAATTTTTGTACTCTATTTTTTATCAAGTAGATATATATTTATCTAATTTTAATATATAAATTTTAGGACTTCTTTCAAAGATAACCTAAAATTGGTGGTTAAACAAAAAACTAAACCCCTTTAAGATTTTTATTTTGCCATATGCACCTTAAAATTTTAAATATTCACGAAAATATCATTACTTATTTAAAAATACTCATAATAGTAATTGTTAAAAATATTTTGGATACATAATAATTAATAATTTGAGAACATTGGGGGGGGGGGGGATATGCGTTTATAGGTTTTCTGTAAAATCATCTTTAGCATTAATTGTTTAATTTGATTAAGAACAAAAAACCATATAAACACTCATCTTTATTCAATAAGCAAAACTTACATACAAATTGCTTTTAACCTAACTCAAAATAAACTTTTTATTAAAATATAATCATGATCATCTGGTGTGTGGTGCATGACTTAAGACGGCTATGATGTGGGTAGTTAATTACTTCTCCATCAGATCTGTTAAGGCGGGTTCTGGTTTTAAGAGTGGTTTATCGGGTTTTTTCTATGTTCTCTCGTAGTCTATCTAAAGGTCTTTAGTCTTGCTTTTTTCTTTAGTGTCTTCACCATGCTTTGCTATGTTCTTGATATTCTAAGGTTGTGGAACTGATGTTAAGCTAAATAGACTTTCAATCTAAAACTAATTGGTTATTAGTAGATTTATCCATCTATCTTATATATTAGCTTATATCCCGTCCAACTATCGATGTGGAACATTGTCTCTAATACGCCCCTCGAGATAATGACTCTTTGAACGTCAATTTCGGGATCTTTGGACAAGGGTCATTGGGCCTACTCTAGGCACGGATCGATAATCGATCTGGTTAGATTTTCGTGGATCGGGCTATGATACCATATTAAGCTAGATGTGATTCCAACCTAAAATCAATTGGTTATTATTGGATTGATTCATCTATCTTATATATTAATTAATATTCCTTATATATTAATTAATATTCCTTCCAACTACCGATATGGGACATTGTCTCTAATAGATGTAAGAGTTGTATCAAACTTATATTCATTGTATTGTACAAAGGTGAGCTATATACAAGAGAGATATTAGGGTATGACATTAGTAGTTAATGCTAGAATATATGTAACCATATGTCGAGATATTCTTAAATCAATTACTATGGCTATTGATCTTTAATACACCCCTTCAAGATGGAGGGGAGGGGAGTCTTGCCACTACAATCTTGCTTGTATTGGATGTAAAGAGTTGTCTTGAAAAGGGTTTGGTCATTACGTCTGCTAACTGATTTTTTGTGTAAATATGAACAACTCGGAGAGCTCATGATTGAACTTGATTGCAGATGAAGTGGTAATCCAAGGCCAAGTGCTTCATTCGCGAGTGAAAAATAGGACTCGCAGAGAGATATGTGGCTCCCACGTTGTCACAGTAGATAGTAGGAGGTTGTTTGATGTTGATCCCAAGTTCTCGGAGCAATGAGAAAATCCATGTTAGCTCAGGGGATGTATTAGTGGTTGATCAATATTCGGCTTTGGTAGAGGATCCTGCGATAGTCTTTTGCTTCTTTGAAGACTAAGAAACTGGATGTTGCCCAATGTAAACGACATAGCCATTTGTTAAGACATAATCATCAGCATCACCAGTCCAATCTGCGTCAGAAAAGGCATAGATAATGTTAGAGTTACATCATCTGAGGAAGATACCATGGTCTGATGTGCCCACCAAGTAACGAAGAAAACATTTTACCGCATTTCAATGATCTTCAGTTAGAGCATGCATGAATAGTGATAATCAGTTGACAGTGTAGGAAATATCAGAAAATGTGATTGTAGTTTCATAAGAAAGTAAAGTTACCTATAATTATGTTATTATTTTCAATAAGTTTTTTAGTAAAAACTTTCAGAAGAAAGGAAAATAGGATTTCTAGTTTTTTTCGGAAATCTATGTATCAAAAAGGTGAAATCCAACTATAACCATTAGGAGTGGACAGAAAACGAACCGAATCGAATCAAACCAACCGAACTGAAACCGATCCAAATAGAACCAAAGTTAATTATCAAATAGTTTGGTTTACGATTTTCCTAACCCGAACCAACCGAACCGAAACTGATCCGAACCGAGTTAAACCAAACTGAAATAATGTGTTTTTGTTATTATTTGAATTAAACATACTAACAATATA